ATTGCATATAAGTCAATAAAATACAGATGTCATGATTATGTTTCCATCAGTTTCACATTACAAATAAAAGCTAAGGAATGTCATTGGTTGCATTTAAAGGTATCAAGTTCTCTATCAGAAAGATTGTAGCTGTTTGTTCTTTTTCTAGTTGCCTTTGTGCAACCCACACAACTGCGCACCAACAGTTTATGTGTAATTTTAAGAACAAGTGGCAAAGGCCACCTAACACATAACATCCCCTAGGCAGGCAGAACGCCTACCCCAACAGAACGCCTTTGCCACAGAACGCCTTTAAGCGCTCACAATTTACATCCACCAACAAGAGAAAGTGGCAAGGGCCATATATTCCCCTGAAGATTCTCCTTGTCTCTTTTTAATTTTGGATGACCGCAGGAATAAGGTCTTTAATTTCGTTTGATCTATCGCTTCGCATCATAAACTTTGTGAAGTGAATATTAGTCTACAAGAAAAACACAAGGCACTGTGATACATGTGCCAGTGTTAGATGTTTGATAAAACGCATGATAATAAATTTCAATCGTTTTACAGAAACTACTTTGAATGCATAACCAATCAAATTTGGAAAAATATTATTCCATCATTAAGATTATGAACGGTGAGATGTGTCAATAGAATGCAGGTTTCATGTACTCATTTCCTTCGATTCCACGTTACGATTATGGTGAACGAACAATCATTAGTACATTTAAAGTGTCAAGTTATCTGAAAGAATGTTATTATTTTTTCGAATTCTGCTTTCTGCTGCTTTCTGCTCGAACGACTCTGCGCTTCACTATTGGCAGGATCATGCTATTGACAGTTCAGCTAGTGCGCTCTCGCCTTCACCATTTCACGCCCGTCGTCTTCTCATTTTCACATAAAGAGTTCAATTTCACGGAAATTAGCGTCAACGTAATCTTTGAACCTTCCTCTTTCCATAAATATACAATTTGTGCCACTTTCGGCGTTCTAACATGCTCAAAGATGCGAGTAAACGACGGCCCGACGATCGTTTTCGCCTTCTCTCGCCTTCGCCATTTCACCTCCGTCGTCTTCTCATTTTACATAAAGAGTTCAATTTCACAGAAATTAGCGTCAATGTAATCTTTGAACCTTCCTCTTTCCATAAATATACAATTTGTGCCACTTTCGGCGTTCTAACATGCTCAAAGATGCGAGTAAACGACGGCCCGACGATCGTTTTCGCCTTCTCTCGCCTTCGCCATTTCACCTCCGTCGTCTTCTCATTATTACATAAAGAGTTCAATTTCACAGAAATTAGCGTCAATGTAATCTTTGAACCTTCCTCTTTCCATAAATATACAATTTGTGCCACTTTCGGCGTTCTAACATGCTCAAAGATGCGAGTAAACGACGGCCCGACGATCGTTTTCGCCTTCTCTCGCCTTCGCCATCTCACCTCCGTCGTCTTCTCATTTTCACATAAAGAGTTCAATTTCACAGAAATTAGCGTCAATGTAATCTTTGAACCTTCCTCTTTCCATAAATATACAATTTGTGCCACTTTCGGCGTTCTAACATGCTCAAAGACGCGAGTAAACGTCGGCCCGACGATCGTTTTCGCCATCTCTCGCCTTCGCCATTTCACGCCCGTCGTCTTCTCATTTTCACATTAAGAGTTTATTTTCGTCCAAATAAGCGTCAATGTAATCTTTGAACTTTCCCCTTTCCATGCATATACATTTTATGCTACTTTCGTGGTTTTAACACGCCTAAAGATCGAAAGTAAACTTGACAACCGGCTGGGTCCCGCCAAGTCCCGGCATCTCCACTGGGCTCTGGGCTGTGGGCTGAATGCAGGGCTTCGCCCAGTTAACGTATAAGATAAAGATAAAGATAAAGTTTGGCTCAGCCAATTAACAACAAATCAAGTTTTTGTCCAATCACAAAACTTTATATACCAAAATTTGGAATTTTTTCGATCTTTCGAATTGTATGATCATATTGGATTCACAGGCAATACATATTCTCCCAAAGATCACTTTTTAGTGTTTTTGAGCTTATGCTGAAATGTGTAAAGTTTCGCCCTGGCAACAATTTTCGTCCGATCACAAAGTTATATATGCCAAAAAATTGCATTTTTTGATCCCTTTCCATTTATATACGTATATGGGACCTTTGAGCAAACAATAGACCCTTAAATGCAATTTTTAGTGTTTTGCAACTTTGTTTTAGCTTTAATACAAGTGCCCGGGCTTAACCAAGATGTTGAGCCACATCGCCCAGACTTTGCAAGAATATAAAGAAACATATTCCGCACCCATCGCGAGATAGCCGCATCCTGGGCGATGCCTGGTTTGGTCCCTGTAGGGCCAAAAGTGCCATTTTTCACTATTAGACCCAAGTTTGGAGCCTCCAAAGAGATGGAAGGTGACGTCACCAGACCCCAGCATTGTGGGATCTCTTTTTGGCTGAGCGATAGCGAAGCCTGTTACTCCATTGGGGTTGAAAAGTTTTTCCTGTCTGTGTGCGTGCGTGTGTGCGTGTGTGCGTGTGTGCGTGTGTGTCCGCACTACTCCTCCTGAACGGCTCGGCCGATCTCGGTGAGATTTTGCACACTTTTTGGGCATGTCCTTGGCTCGGCACACGCGAAATTTCACTATCCTAGCTCAACTGGTTCAGTTTTTATAGCCGAAAAACACCTAAAAAACGGCGAAAAATCGAGTTTTCTGCAGGCAAATCACCTCTGCCTCTGACAAGTTAAAAAGTCACAAGGGATCTAGAATGAAGGGGGGTCTGCGTGCATCAAGTAAGAAGTAACCGACGATGGACAAGCCATTGCCTGCCGAAGGCAGACTAGCGCCGCAGGCCAAGGTAGGTACGCCAGGCGCGGATTGGAGGAACAGGCAGCGAGACATCGCGAAGCCTGTTACGACAAGACGCGGTCTGGCGTAAACCTACCTTGTCTAATATGGTCAACTGCAAACAAAACCATACGCCGCTTGATTCTAGGATTTTCGACCCACCCTAACCAACAGTGAACTCACTGGCGGCTTGAAGAGGCATCATCCGGAGGCTTGTCGCTGCTCCCTAGAAGGCCTCCCTGGGCACGCCGTCGCAGTGCTCGCACTGCACGTTGCAGCCCTCCTGCAGCACGGCTTTCACTGCCAGCAGCTGGGCGCGGCAGGCCGCGGCGTCGCAGCCCGCCCTGAGCAGCACGAGGCGCCTCACCAGGACACTGTGGCAAAAAGGTACGGAAAATTCTGTTAATTTTTTTGCCAGAATTTTCCGTAGCCCCTTATCAATATTCTCCGTAGGCTCTTACAGTATTCTCCGTAGGGCCCCACA